TGACATTTCTCTTTATACGAAATAATTGTATTTATTTTTTATCATTAGTATCATATGTATAAATATAATCGGATATATCTTTATCATTATCAAATTAAGTGTTAAAGTGTTAAAATTATTATTAAGGTTTTTATTTATTTTATAAAGTGTAAATTTGTTGTAATAATATAATGTCTGATTTTATTTTATTTTTTTTAAGGTAGGCTTTTAGATTTTAGTTTTGATAAAGTCTTGAATTAGGTAACATTGCAATTTTACATACGTTTGTACAAAAAAGAAAGAGAAATAAATGGCCCATAAGTACAAGAGAAAATTACCTCCCATACTCACCATTGCCTAAATATTATCATATTTACGAATAAATAGAACTTTCATCAAATTTACGATATGTTATAATTAAAATAATATTAGTAATTGATTAGGCGGTTTAATTTGGGCTGACTAACCGTAAGTTATGTTAATAATATTTAATTAAGTCTGAAAAATGTGTCAGTTTCAAATACATCAAAACTGCCTTACATGAATATCGGGAAACGTGATTTCCTACCTTCACACTCAATGGAAAAGAAAGGTAAAGATATCACTCTCTCTCTCTCAATATCTCCGCCATAGTGCAGTTCTTATCTCTCTCCAAAAACTTTTCATCTCTATCATTCACACAGAAAAACCGCTTAATCTCAACACCAAAAAATTGAATCTCTACGATAATAATGTCGAAGCGAACAAAGATTGAGTGCAAACCATTCAACATTGAAGACGACGCAAGGATAACCCGCTCCCAATCTCGTCCCAAATCACAATTTTAACCTCCCTAACGCAAGATTGTACAAAAAAAGCTCCAATAAAAAAATAGAGGCTCCGAGCCGTGCCAAAAAATCTATCCCGAAGACCGCCGAGGATGAGTCGGACGATGGCGACTCTTTTGTCCCCAACCATAAAAAAAAAAAAAAAGAAAAGAAGATAAGGTGCCGGACTAACCCAATAAGAAGAGGGTTCGAGGAAAACGGGGTAAATCAAAAATTGTTGCTACATCAGATTCGGATTTCAATCTTCAAGAGGAGGAGGAATCATATTCGAGTGAAGTTGGTGTGGATGTATCGAAGGTCGACAGTGACATAGAATCGGAATTGATGTTTATCTTATAAATATGTACAATCTTTGTGATCATGTTACAAGTATATTACATTTTCAGAAATGTTAAAATTGATGTTTATCTTATATATATATGTCCAATTTTTGTTATCGTGGTATAAGTGTATTGCACTTAAGGAATGTTTATATATTGTTTATCTTATGTATATATATGTACAATCTTTCTTATCATGTTATAAGTATATGTCACATTTTTAGAAATGTTAATATGATGTTTATCTTATGTATATATATGTCCAACTTTTGTTATCGTGGTATAAGTATATTGCATTTCATGAATGTTTACATAACGTATATTATAAATACTTTAAGTAATGTGTTTACCTAACGTATATTATGCCGTGTTATAAACATAAAATAGAGACATAAGCACACATACGTGTTTAACTAATGTATATTACATACTTTAAGTAATGTGTTTATCTAACGTATACTATAAATACTATAAGTAATGTGTTTACTTAACGTATATTATGCCGTGTTGTAAACATAAAATAGAGACATAAGCACCCATACATGTTTAACTAATGTATATTACATTAAGTATTGTGTTTATCTAACGTATATTATACCGTGTTGTCAACATAAAATATAGACATAAGCACACATACGTGTTTAACTAATGTATATTAAACCGTGTAGTAAATCAACTCGAGTATATGATTGTTACTTATTTATTGTTTATTTATACTCATAAGACACATAAATGTACCAAATAATCACTGGCCCCATATTCTTTTATGTACAACTTATATAGGTTTGAATTACACCATTCATTTATTTTATAAAATACTCCTATACAAATGTACCAGAAGTAAGGAATAACGAAACAACCATAATGGAAAGATCAGTAATATTATGTTGTTTATCTTATGTATAACTATTTATATTAAAGAATGGTCATATCATGTTTATCTAATGTGTATATACAGTATATCTGAACATATATACAGATCACGAAAACAATTTTTTTGCTTCCAATCCCTAAATTCTAGATATATTGTATATATACATTAGATAAACATGATCTGACAATTCTCTATTATTAACCATATAGTTATACATAAGATAAACAACATATAAACAATTTGAATTCGGTAGAAAAAAGTTATGATCCCGATTGGGAATAGAAAAAAATTCGGTAGAGAAAAAATTCGGTAATCGACATTTTGAATTCGAAAAAAAAAAAATTCGTCCAACCACCAAATATATGTTTAGATATATTGTATATATACATTAGATAAACATGATCTGACAATTCTCTATTATTAACCGTATAGTTATACATAAGATAAACAATATATAAACAATTATGAAAAGAGATTAAACATAATGTTAATTAACATAAAGTACTATCAAATATTACAAAGATTTGTAAACACAACAGGGAACTCGTCGAATGATAACCAAACTCGGCCACGAACTCGCTGGACAACTCGTAATCAAAATAGCAGTCACTGGCACTCGTGGTAGCAGGAGGAGAAGAGGATACTACTCCAGATCGACGAAGACGTTCCAGCAAGGTGGCCGGGCAGGCGGGCGCCGGCAGGCCGCAGCCGCGCACAGGCGTGGCCAGCAGCAACATCATCCCGCGAAGCCCGGTCCCAGCCTGCGAAGCCCAGCATCAGCCCGCGAGCCCGTCAGGCGTCCTCCAGCCAACCAGCGATGCACAGGCCTAAAGAAAAAAATTACCAGGTCACATCAAACACAAAAAAAGAAAAAATAAAGAATAAACAAACTCAGAATTTGAAAATACCTTCAATTTTTTTGTGCGCATCCAATGGTTTGTTGGATCAACTGAATTTTTTTCGTTTTCCAATCCAAAATCATGATTTTTATTTTTTTAAGAAAGAAGAAGTGGAGATCTCGACGGGAGCATGCTCTGTAAATCGATCGAAAGAATTATGGAGCAGTAACGGATCCTGTTTTCCTTGCTAGATTTTCGCTTTCAGCTCCATAATCCATATATGGAGAGAGAGAGTAACGGATCCTGTTTCCTTGCGAGATTTTTTGACTGATTATGGAGCAATATCTCGTACAAATGAAAATAAAACTACTACTCAATCCTGTTTTGATTAATTTTTGCATGGATAGTATATATGTAGATATATCTATATAGGGATATATGTATGTAATTTTCCCTAAGTAGAAACCAATTTTAGATGTGTTAAAAAAAAATGGCCCAGTGAAAAACTGAAAAACACATTGGGCTTTTAGAATTGGCCCAAGCAAAAAAGGAAGAATAGGAAAGGGAAAAGCAGAAAATGTCATATCCCACATTGGGAAAACATAAAACAAACGAAGTGTATTTAATAAAGAAGACTGCTTGCACAGATTTATTCAAACCGGTTGAGTCGCTAGAACCGGTACTGGTTTGCCGGTTTTACCCGTTTTCGAACGGTTTAAGCGGTTCCTAAACGGTTTTTAAGTTCAGCGGTTCAATACCTCAGACCGAACTGTTATGATGTCCGGTTCCCAGTTGAACCGGTCGGACCGGCCGGTCCGGTCCAGTTTTAATAACATTGGTTAAAGCCCAAGCTTCAGTTCATTTGAAGTTGATTTAGTTAATGAGCTGAGCTCGGGTCAGCTCGATAAGACTTGAAAAGATAAAGTTTGTTAAAGCTCGATTCCAGTTCATTAAAACTCGATTTCAACTCATTAAGCGGTGTATTCAATTAGGTCTCTTCGAGACTTTTTACGAGTTTTGAAATTTAGGGGTATTCAATTGAAATTTTTTGAGACTCTCAAAAAGTTTACATGTATTCAATTAAAACTTTTCAAATAGTCTTTAAAAGTTGTCCGTTATTCAAGTTAGAAGGATTTGATGAGACTTTTAAAAGTAAAGGATTCTTGGAGACTTTTTTATCAAAAGTATGAAGAAAAAAATCTTGTTAAAATCTCACCAAATTTGTGAGATTTGCGGAAGGCTCTTCATTCTCTCTTCTATCATCTACTCTCATTCTCGCCTTTCTCTCAACTTTGACCCATCCAATTTTCACCACCAATCCCCGTTAACTCAAATAAAAATTCTATTGAGCCATCAGATGATTTTCTTATGGAGTCATCCACCACTTAATGTATTGACACCTGCCCAAATTGTATTTATTATAGGACACATGTCAATACACTATTAGAGCATCTCCAATGTGACTTTTGACATTGCAAAAAATTATCCATATCATCAACTTTTGAAAGTTTATTACTAATTTATTCTCCAATGCATCTTGTCATTAGCTCTTTCATGATGATGTGGATGGCATTTAATGTTAACAATGTTGAACTCACTTTCTAATATCTAACACCATGTTAAACATGATGACTCATTAATTCACTTTATATTTGGTTTAATTTTTTATTATTCTTGTATTAATGAATTATTATAATTGGTCCACCTATACAAATAAATTCTTATCAAATTGGTGCATTGGAGATACTAGTTTGATTCAAATTTTTAGCCTTTTAACATTATTCTTATGTGGATTAACATTACAATCATCAATTGACATGTGTTAAAAATTATTGCCTTTCAACACCATAGTATTGGAGATGCTCTTAGTGAATAAATGTGGACGACTTCCGTAAGTCGAGCCATCCGATGGCTCCATAACAAAACCACTGTTATGCATTGTTCAAAGCATGTTTGATAAAGGTTGAGATGAATAAAAATATATATTGAGAGAAAGTGTGCGATCCTCTTAATATCCAAAAATTAACAACAGCCGCAACAACATAAGAGCTTGTGGTGGCCGGTGAAATTTAGTGTATAAATTATGTTTGAAATCAAAACAAGTCTTGAAAGGTGCAAATCCTAATATTAAATAAATCAATGCATTATCCTTTTTAAGACACTAAAATTTCAAAACAATACCTAAGTCTATAATACACGAGGACTTTGAAAATCTTAAAGACTTCACAAATTCTAAATGAAGACATCCTCCAACAATTTGATTTGCAATTTGGGTTTTTGAAGATTGTGGAAGAGGAATAACCACTTGCATTGCGAGCTTGAGCATTTGCTTATGAGCGAAAGCAACAAGAAGTTGCATTGTCTGGCCAATGGCGTTGAATTCCCGTTCAACAATATCAGGTGGTTGAAACCGATACCCATTCACAAAGACAGTTAGGGCCCAACGGTTTTGGTCCTAAAATATGTATGCAACAATGTAATCATAACCTCAAATTATGGTACTCGAATATGAAAATCCAGAATACCCATATATAGAAAAATGAAAATGGGTACATAATGCAACAGAGGCCCTAATAGATAAGGAAAGATGCAAGTCTTTGAAGTCTCTTGTCATTTTCTAGCTATAGCAGCAAAGCTCTGGCAGATAAGAGGAAAATGAATCATATGACAACAACATATATCCAACTCCAACACAAGCTTAAAATCAATAGAACAAGAACTAATCACTTTTGCAGTCGTACACGCCTAAGCGGGATATCATCAACCATAGCCTCAAATATCTTTTTCTCCAGCTCGGACTCATCGACCCACAACGAACTCTTTCTATGCAAAAGCTCACTCCTCTCTTTCTTCTTTTCCTCAACTGTTTTCTCTCTCATCCTCCAATACTCGAGTTCTTCAGCTCTTTCTTTCATCTGCACACATCACAAGGATTGCAAAACATAAACAAATGGATAGATAAAATGGGGTGGGGAATAAACAAGAGCTATCGTGATGGAATTTCAATTAGCAATCAATATATATCTAGCACGAGACAAGCAAATTTCAAACAAAACACTACAACTCATATTATCATCTAAATAAGGAAAGGACGGACAGGGAAACACTAAAAGGAAAAAGAACGCTTACGTACAACCAAATATCCAGTGCAAACAAGGCTAGAAAAGTAAAATGTATATAAACATCAGCTGCAATAAATAAATAAATAAAAAAGAATTCCATATCCAGATTCACGCACTCCCACAGATACATTAATCAGAGAACTGGTGCTCGATCTGTAAATAAGTATCAAGACTTTGGTAGCCTGGCGAACATCATTTCTCAAGATGAAACGTCATCGCCAGTAGTTGTTTTAAAGATTTTGATCATCACATCAACAAAGAATCCAATTAGGATTCCAATTGAAAGGTTACAACTAAATTTGAATTATCATCCACTTCTCTTAGTTTCTATTTCCTAATACAATTGGTCGAATAAATAAATTATTTCAAGTAAGATATGGCTGTTGCGACTATTTAGAATGACCAAATAGGTAAAGTTACAAATTTGCATAAACTTCAAGAAAATACATCTCAATGCACATAACCATCCTATTCTTTTTTCTTTTCATATAAGAGATACCTATGCATGAAGTTCTCAGCTAAGTTTTATTCTTACTACTCAATACTAGTACAAAATTCCATACAGATGAATTTCTTAGTTAACATAATAAATTAAAAAACTTGTTAATAAAGCAAAGGAGATCATTGATGAGAGTCAAACATTTCCATGAAGTGTGAGTCCATAATTCTCTTTACGAGTACCCAAACTCAGTAGTCATCTAACTAAGGCCAAGTTATGTAGCTGACTCAATACCTCTGACTTTCTATTGCACAATACAGAGGAACATCTGATATAAGAAAACGCATAGAAGATATAGGAAAGTTAAATGCGTATATAATTTCACCTTTTTCCCGCACAACATAAACCTACCTAAGAACGTTAAATCAATCACACAAATACACACATGGAACAAACTAAAGGAAAATAATTGGGGTAATCAGAAACAAGATGGAGGATCCTCAAGGGCAGAGAAGTAATTTATCATACCAGCATCTCGCGGAACTCTTCCTCAGCAGCCTGCCTCTCGATAGCCTCCGCCTTCTTCTTAGCGGCTTTGGCGGCCTTCCTCTCCTCGTTAGCTATCCTCAGGGCTTCTTTTCTCGCCGCGTCCCTTCGCAGTATCTCGATCCTCTGCAATTCCATTTCCTGAATGTACTCCTTCCGGATTTGCTTGAACTTCCGGTCGTAATCGCGGCGGAGAAAGGCCAGCTGCGCGGCGGCCTCCTTAGGGTTACGCGGAGGTTTCCAAGAGTTTATGTAGGAGCTCGGGGGAAGAAATTCGTGGTGGTTACGACGGGATGATGGAGATTCCGATATGACGTTGGTGGAGAAGTGGCGGGTGACGGCGAGTTTGGTAGGCCGTCGCCGGAGTATGTGGGAAGAGAGCGACATTTGATTGTTGAGTGGGTTTTAGCACGGGTTCCACGATGAGAATATTTTTGTGACCGATTGGTGTTACTAAACACCGCCACCGCCCTTGTTACTTAGTACCGCGACTACTTTTTCCGGCAACTCAAGTGTCAATATGTCTATTATGACGTCTAGAGTCCATTTATGTCATTTTGGTTCGGAAGACTCCGGCTAGATTTTAGAATTTGCCTAGCGTCGATTTTCTTAACTTAGACATCGGGTTTTTCTTTAGTTTAAGCACAATGTCTAGGGCACCAAAAATTTACCGAACTTATTTTAACATAATCAAGCCTCAGTTTCAGTTAGCCTCGGTAAAAATATTTATAAATTTAAAGTTCATTCGACATCTACAATCGAGCTTAACTAGGGTTATGGTTCACCGAGCTATTCAACTCATTTTAGCCAAAGTTTTCAGCCGTGTTCTTAACATGATTTATAAGGGATTTAGACATGTCAACCTCAGCAAGAACTCGTCTTCAACAAAACATCCTGTAAGTTTTGAAGATTGGCAGTAAATCGATAAACCTTCATTTGTCACTATGTTCAGACAACTTTGGAAAAATTAAGGGAAGTTTACTGTAAACTCCTTTGGTTGATTACTTACATATTGGTCAAATAAAATTAACTAATGCGTGTGTCATTTATGCAAGATCAATCAAGATTCGCCTTCCTTATTTAAGAGATACAGCAGCAGATTTGGACCTTCCAAAAGAAGAGTCAATCAAATCAACCAAGGACTTACCATATATGAACGTGACTTGGCAGCGAAGTTTTGAAGAGGACTTACCATATTGTGATTAAGATAAAAGGACGGCGATATTCTTGAAGAGGGTGACTTTTGATCTTTTGTTTTTGTAGACCAGAAATTCTGAGTTGTAAGGTTTTAAGTGAGATTGTTATTTTATTGAGTGAATAGATCAATTGTGAGGAGTTGATTGAAAAGCATAAACCTAGAGTGAACGGAGGTTCATTCTATTTCAGTTTGAGGGATTCAAACGAGAAAAACCACAAGGGATTTGTGGTCGGATAAGTAGTTTTGTGAATCATTGTTCAAATAGAGTGTAGAGGGAGTCTGCATTGTCAACCCCTGAATGATGTTTGAGATGTTCACATTAATGAAAGAGATCCGAAGGGAGAGTGAGACGCTCTCCTGAAGGTTCAATTTAAGTATTACCTCTTCCGCAATTGCAAGAATCTTCTTTAGTTTCTGTTTAATTAAGTTTTGTGCAACTCTGGGTATTTTAGATACCCATATCAAACTTCAATTGGCACCAGAGCGGGTTTTCGTATACTATACGAAAGGTCTAAGGACGTGTGTATTGGGCAATCATGAATAAAAAAAGTGGACCGATCTCTAGGCCTCCGCAATTGGATGGCTCAAACTACTCCTATTGGAAATCTATGATGATGATCTTTCTGAGATCTTTCAGAAAAGGTGCTTGGGAGAGTGTCGAAAATGGCTGGGAACATCCAGTCATGCCAGAAGCTCCAGATCAAGGGAAAGGACCGTCATCAGGCACTATGCCTAAACCAAAAGACATCTGGACTGACGCCGAAAAACTTCAAGAAGAAGAGAACTATCGAGCTCTGTATGCGATCATGATGGCAGTTAATCAGACTCGACACAAGATGATAGTTCAATACGAGACAGCGAAAGATGCTTGGCGTATTTTGCAACGTCAGTTTGAAAGTTCAACAGCAGTCAAAGCATCCATACTTCCAACGCGTAACACTCGAATTTGGTGAAATCAAAATGAGGGATGAAGAAACGATTTATATATACTATGCCAGATTTTGTGATCTGGTGAATCAAAGTGGGATGCTTGAAGAAGAAGTATATGAATATCGTCAAGTTCAAAAGATTATGCGGACAGTTGCGCCTAGATTCAGAGAAAAAATTACGGCCCTTGAGAGCTTTCAAAGAATTGCGCCTCTAAATGTTGATGAACTTCTTGGTGATCTCAGGACGTTTGAAATCAACAACAACTATGGCAAAGTTAAGAACAAGGGACTTGCTCTCAAAGTGGTGGTAATGGTTGAGAAAGAAGATAGCGACGATGATGAAGGTTCATTGGTGGACGATAGCGAGTTGAAAGAAGCTCTTGCACTGATTGCGAGAAATTACAGCAAGATGAGTCAGAAGTTGTATAATAATAAGTTTGCTGGCAAGAAGTTCAATAATTACAGCAAGAACACGTTTCAAGACAAGAAAAATAATACACCTTCCTCAAAACTGAACATACAACGAGTCGAGAAGGACCAATGCCGAGAATGTCGAGGGTTTGGTCATTTCGGTACGAGTGTGCTAGTCTTAAAAAGAAGAGCAAGTCAGTGAAGGCAACATTGGAAGATTCAGATGACGAGGGCATAGAAGAACCTTCATCACACACGAGTAATATGGCAATTCGTTCCTCAGTAAGGAAGTTTATGTGTCTCATCACCTCGCATGCCACAACAAGGTTTGAAGAAAGCATGGAAGAATCTAAAGCATTTGAGGATGAAGTCGATCAGAACATGTGTATTGATCCGGTTCACTTGTTGGCTATGGAGAAATGTGCACAAGCATATGAAGCTATGAAGAAACTTCAGAGTGAAGTTCATAAACTGACAAAGGAAAATAAACTTTTGATTGAACAGGCCACCTCCTCTTTCACCCATCAAAAAGAAAATGAACTAGATACCGCAAAGGCTCGGACTTCCATTCTTTAGAATAGTGTCAAACTTTCTAAAGAAGATGGGTTGGAGAAGACTCAGACCATTGAGTGCCTGAGGTCTGAACTGTTCTCAACTCAAAAACTACTTGTTGAGCGGAACATGGAAATCTTGAAGCTCAAAAATGAAGTTAGCCGCATCATGAACGAACATGCGAGTATGCAAAACAAGCTGAGTGCAAACTAGGCTGAACTGGAATGCACTGTTGAGGCTGTCAGGAAACTGAATAAAGGGAAGGTTGATCTAAATGAACTTCTCTCCATGGGAAGAAATATGGTGATCTCACCGGGCTAGGGTACACAGGCAAGGTTAAAAGTCCTGAACGCCCATCTGAAACTTCAAACAAGACCAAACATCTAGGTCTTGGTTTCTCAGACAAATCTGGTGTTGATGGTACAAGTCTACATGGAAAACCTTCTCGAGATTTGTATGCCAGGTTTTTTAAGAGCACTGTAAGTAACCCCTCTACACCTAAATGCCTTGTGAAGGTTAATGCACCAACTCGGGAATCTGTGAGTATTTCGCAATTTTAACCAATCTGTCATTATTGTGGAATAATTGGTCACATCAGACCCAAATGCTACAAGATGCAGCATGATCTTTGTTCTGGTAAAGTGTCTAACTAGAGTCGCTCCGGTGTTCTAGTGAACATTCATGATGTGAATCCTCATAAAAAATCTGTGAAAAATCGACAAGTATGGATTGCAGAGAATTCTTTTAAATGTTTTGCTTCAGTGTTGTCTCTCAGAACCTCACTTGAAGGGAAATGGTACCTTGATAGTGGGTGTTCGAGGCATATGACTGGTGAACTAGCATATCTGTCGAATGTTAAAACTGGGTCAAATGGGGAAGTTACATTTGGTGATGGTGTGAGCAATAAAGTTATTGTAACTGGGTGTTTGAACTTGGGTGGTTTACCTAGGTTAGATGATGTGTTACTTGTGAATGATTTGAAGGCTAATCTCTAAAGTGTGAGTCAACTTTGTGACCAAGGTCTTAGTGTCAGTTTCTCTCGTGATAAGTGTTTTGTGAAAAATAAATCCTTCCCACGCTATCTTGACAAACAGAACAGCGATCCATACATAGGTAAAAGCCCTCGCTATTGTTTGTTAAATGATATGGGCCATCGTATGGGCATAGTTAAACCCTAGCTACAGGGAGCTAATGAATGACAACACGGTCTTAAACAACCAATTCTCGACATCCCATATCATCAGAAGAAGGCGATTCTCTCTGCTTACTCTTTCGGAGCAGAAAACGTGTGTTAAGCATAAAGTAACTTTTTGTCGCGCTAAGAAGAAAAGGAGCTTGAACCTCTAGACGAACGGGGAAGGGGTACTGAGCAGATAGACGAAGAAATGTATTGAGGGTTGGCTCTTCTACGAATATCAGAAGTTTCGCGCTTCTTCTCGTCATCGGTCTCGCCCGGTATTGCAAGTTCTAAGTCGTCAAATAATCTGTATAACCAACAAAAGACTTTTTTCCTGAGTTCTTTTATTCTAATTCTAGTAGATTTGATGAGATTTTTTTGGTGGTGGGAAGATTTGTCCTATATGTGCAAATCAAAACCGGGCCGATCTTTCCCCGGAGTAGAGCATCAACCTAAAAAGATTAAATAAAGCCATTCAGTAACCCATTGCACCGTGTTCCCTGAATAGCATTGAATATTATGGTCTGCCACCAGAAAAGCTTGCCATATGGGCTTGGCAGCTTGACAATCTCGTAGGAGATGGCAAATAGTTTTCGGTACCTTGGGGCTCGATATAATGGACATGTGTGATTACTGGATCTCGATCAACTGATAATTGCTATCTTATTGACTTTAATGAAAAATGCTTTCAAGCAGTTATCAGTGAATCTGAAATTTGGCATCAACGCTTAGGTCATATTGGATATTCTCTCTTGGTCAACATTTCAAATGCAGGTGTGGTTCATTGAGTCCCAAATATTGTCATGAAGGAACTACCCATTTGCGAACCATGTCAACTTGGGAAACAGATGCGAGCATCACACAAAAGCTTGAACCACATTGGATCAAAGCAAGTCCTGGAACTACTTCACATGGACTTGATGGGACCGATACACGTTGAGAGTTATCAAGGTAAGAAGTAAATTTTTGTGTGCGTGCATGATTTCTCTCCATATACGTGGGTTGACTTTTTGCGTGACAAATCTGATACCTTCGTTGCCTTTAAAACCCTCTGTCTGAAACTGGAAAATGAGAAGGGATTTCCTTTAACCAGCATTAGGAGTGATCATGGCTGTTAATTTGAGAATAAAGAATTTTCAGATTTTTTTAATCCTCACGGTATTTTTCATGAGTTTTCTGCACCAAAGATACCCCAATAAAATGGAATTGTCGAGAGAAAGAATCATACCCTTCA